GGTGGGTGTTTTGTTTGGATTCAAATAAACTCTGTGTGCTGTGACAAAATGGTCAAGTCTGTCACCCCTGTTGCTTTGTCTCGTCTAAATGAAAGATGAACAGTATATCTGCTGCTGCTGTTTTAAATTAAGGGCTGAACTCCTTGTTTTCTCGACTTACTTACGTACTTTTGCCTGTAGAAAGGGAAACTTGCATGTTTGTAGATACAAATTCAGAACACTGGTGCATTGTTTTGGTCATCTTCTGTGATTATGTATATTTTATATTTTTTAATTCACAGGTTCTTCTATTATTTTTTGTATCTAAATCTTTGCAAAGTGTGTAGATACAAAGACTTGATAAAAAGAAGGTTTTAGCTGTGCTGTTATGGATGTAATTCAAAGTATTAGTTTAAAAATTGAGTAAATCAAAAGATTTTAGCCATTTCATACTTTTTAATTCTGTGGTTATAACAGCAGGTGGATAAATGCAAAGTGATGAATATAATTTTGTGATATTATGAGCTCTCTAATAACGAAAGAGCAGAGATAGTAAAGTAAAAAGCAAACTGTCTCAGGTCATCGACGTGAGATTTTCAGAACAGTGAAAGCTCCTCGGTGAGATGATCACCTGGACACAAGGTTAGGCAGCTGGGGCACTGCTCTATAGAGAGGAAAAGGGAAGAAAATGGAAAAGTGATCAGTGCATAACATCACTCTTGATTGCAGTTATTTAAATAAAACATCTCAGAGGTAAAAGTACCTTTTTGGGAAGGATGACAATATTTCAGGCTGGATGCTGCTTTGCAGGGAGAACTGAATGAAACTTCTCTTGCACCTCAGCGCTGAGGTCCACACCACGCCCTGTGAAAACAGATGATGTAAATCTGCTGCAGCAGGTATAGCTTTACCGACCAGCAGAACAGGTTAAAATGGATTGAGCAGAGTGTAGAATCAGAGATAAATGCCATATTACCATATAGTTTGTTAACAACATAGCTTTCTTTCCCCTTTGTTTTGATGGAATGAATCAGGGCATACTCGTCATACTTCACGTCGACCATGCGCAAGTCACTGAGATACCCCCAGCCTGACAAAGGGAATGCAGCAGAAAAGGGGTCATGAAATTATGAAAGCAGAAAAGGCAAATGTACTAGATCGTTAAATCGTGCTTCTGTGTGTGGGTGTACTCACGCCGACTTGTGTATGAACTTTCCCGGTATCTCAGTTTTTTTGGCCAGATTGTTCATTCTCCAACACGAGCCATTAGGGCTGCAAAGAGATCACTAAAACATTAATTCTTTCACATGTTGTCTTTCATATATATTTATATACAGATATATAGATATATATTCCTATTTATTTAAATGTCCATTGTCCTCATGCCCTCACACTTACCTAAGACTGGAATATTGACATCTCCAGATCCCCGTCAGCAGTTGGGGTAATCATGGCCGTGCCCATCTTCATGCTGGCTCTGTGACTGACAAACCACTGGGCATCAGTGGCAATTCCAATCAGGTACCACTTACCTGCCATCTGTGGGCACACAAGAGGAAAGCATCGGGAGTTGAAAACTTTACTGAAGCGTTTTTTGAAACACTTTCTGTGATCACCTTTACAAAAAAGTGTGTTTTAATAACTCGCGTAAGCTTTGGAAGACAGAGGGGAAAAAAAACACTTCATGTGCGCCTTCTTCTTTTTCTTTGTTTTTGAAGACAGCTACATTGCTTTTGTTTATGAAGGCAGTGAACAAAAGATTTATCACAGCATGAAACACAAAAGTCAAAAAGTGAAAAGCCAAAACCATATAAGCAAGTTGAACATGCATTGCTGCTGGACTTACAAACGATATAGGGAATTAAATAAATACAATGATCATAGAAATAAATATTGTAAAATAAAACATACTAATGTAGCCATTTGTTCTACCGCCTGTACATTGAAGTCTGCCTGAGGTTGGACTTCAGAAGAAAACCATCAGAGAGGAGAGCACAGCTCCCAGCAGAGTGAGAAGTAAATGCATGGCTGCTGATTGATGAGTGAAGAAATGATGATGTGGAGAGTGTGGATGAAGATCTGGAAGTGTGCTGTTGAGGTTCTGCCTGACTTCCTTTATATAGCCGAGGGAGATTACCTCTTCCCTCGAGGCCAGCGCACACACACACACACACCTAGACAAAAACCCGGGTTCGGGGATGGGTTCACCACATGAACCTGCATGCATGGTTTCACAACCATGCAAAGGCAGAATTCAGTGAACCATATGAGAGGTATATAGCAAACAGCTGGCAGGAAGAAACACACAAAAACAAATCAAAAATTTGAATAACAAATCAGCTGGGATGTCAGAGAATTGGAAAGCAAATAAGTAGTAATTAAATTTCAGCTTGAGTGGAGACAAAAAAAATCTGTTTTGAAACAAAGTACACTGAATCCACAGTGGTAAACAAGGCTAAACTTCCAGCGCTTTCTGCGACTGAGACCACAGAATCAAATGTAGCTGTCAGCAGATGTGACAGTAACGCGCACAGACAAAACACATGGCTCGCAAACTGGATTCCTTAATCACGCTTCCCTGTGTAGTAACCTGAAATGATTCCCTGGATAAGCTAACAATAATAAGTAAATACATTTGTGGAATCTTTTTCCACTGCTGTTGAGTGATGAAGAATCTCAAAGTTTGATCTGTTCTTGTTCACTACAAAAGGTAATCAATGGTTCTTCTAACAACCTTTATGTGACAAGAATGAAAGTGTCACACCATCCATCCACCATCTATCTGGGTCCAGAGTGAACTTGCTTGTTTGATCACTACCCACAGATTGTGGCCTTCTGGTAATTTGGTTAAAACATAAGGGTTACCTTCTTGTGACCTAATTACTGTTGCATTTAGGCCAGATGCCAGTCAGTGACCCCCTGGTAACCTCTGACTGCTAGGGAAACACTAGCCCAGCAAGTTACGTGCTGGCTGCCGGATGAAATCATTCCCAAAGATTACAAAGGATTACAAATCACTTTGTGGAATGCTTTGGTTGTGAGAAGGCTGCAGCAGTTTCCCATACTTCACATGGAAGATGCAGGAGGTGTTAATGTAACTCCTGTGCTATACAAAAGCTCCATTTGCTGTTGCCTGCATTGTAGGCAGTGGGTGATGTTGCCTACTTTGAGTGAAGGTGTCTCACATTGTTTTCTCTCCCTGGGAAATGCTCACAATGAAGAAGTTGTCCTAATTTAGTCGTCTTGAGTAAGCGTTAGTTTGTGTTTGTTTGCTGACATTTTTAAAATTGTATTTAAATTATCCTATTTTTAAAATGCCAGACTTTGATGGACAACTGATCGACATCTGCTCCGCCTCACTTTAACACTTTGTACAGTGCTATAAATGATGCATAAATTATGTTGTTTATCCCCCTTTTTCATCTCTTTATGTGCACTTGGCACTAGTGATGGACACACCAACACAATCTTCTTTTATGTGTTTTTGTTCCCTCATTTAAGGCTGAATAGGTTTAATATTGGTAAGTCTTCCAGTGATATAATGATTCCCTCAAATGTCTTAAACATGCTGTGAACCGACTGAAAGGAGCAAACACATTTCATTCCTCTGTGTTTCTGGGTGCAGACATGTTCCTGTGGCCCAAATCTCAAGCAGTGCTGACTGAGGATGAAGTGTGATACCAACTCAACCCATAGTGGTAGCTGTGGAGGACTGCCATTAAGGAAGCAACCACAACTGTCCCCAGCCCACCAACTCATCTCTTTTGTGAAGGGACACAGATATTTTTCTTTGTGATTAGATTCCCCCCTCTTTGATTTCTATTTGTTTTAAGGAAACTGTATTTTTAAACTTACTTTAACCCCTTGCTGAGACTGGTTGCTTAAACCTAGAATCAAGACATCGATACACCATCACAAACTGACTGAAGCAACAGACTTAATATTAATGTTATTGGGTGTTTTTGTTTAGTTAAGCACAGAGTGGCCTGAGGGTGGCAAGCAGAGGAAAAGCTAAAAGTGCTGGCACTGAAGTTACAGGGATGAAATATGCCTTCAAATGGAAGAAATGTATCGGTATAAGAATATTTATTGATGTGCTCCACCCAAAATGTGGATTATGAGAAATAATGCTAATTAGTGAACAGTGTGAAATGAAAATTGAGACTAGAAATTACAGTAGAATAGATGGGGTTTCATTTTCAATTCACACTATATGACTGAGAACAGTGATTTAACTGTTTACATAAATTATTATCTATAACAGAATAATTAGAGAAAGGATTGGCATGTGTGTTTAGATTTGTAGATCAGTGTTGAAGGCACCGTGAGACAGTTATGACCAAAAAACATTCGTTAAAAAACACACACAATAATGCAGCACACTGCAGAGAAGAAAGGCACAAAACGCACATTTTATTGTGTCCAAGGTGATGAACTTTGTTCTTGCTCTAACCATCACATGCAACATATTTTAGACATTATTTTAACATCTTACACTGAGCTAAGCTAGCCTCTTTGTTCTATATTAGTTAGGCCTCTTCTCACAGATGCAGATCCTTCTATAACTCGTTTTTCTTGCCTTCTTATTAATTGTTTTAATATATCTTTGTTTCTTTTTAAATTTCCAACTTGACCAGTACAGTGGTGTCAGTATTTACTGAGTGCATGTCTGCAGAACGGGTCAAAAGTGACCATTTGCTTTTCTTTGGCTTTCCCTCTGATGCCATCTTAGGGCCAAACCACGTTGCTACTGGATATTAAATTAGTAAAGGACAGCTATCTAGTCTTGAATCCGGCAGTTTTGTTTCTGGTTTATCTTCTTTGATTTGAACTCCAGAATCATTTAATGTTTTTTTTTGTATCATTTTGAAGTTTATTAGATTTTTTTGACTTGCATGCATGAGTGAGATTATTTTTTTTATAAAGACAACATATTTCCTTCTTACTTTCTGCACGTGTATAAAAAGGCAGGCTATAATGTCTGCAGTCTTCGATTAAATTTATAAAAGGCACAAAATCCACAGACTGTCTTGCATGTGTCCAGGTCAAAAGCTTCAACAGAAAATGATGCTAAAAATCCAAACCCCAAACACATCTATGCATCTTTAAACAGTCATTAAAAACATGTTCCTATTAGTACCGCAGTCCTGGAATGTATTGAAAAAAAAAAGAAATCGAATTCTTCATGCATGCAGCACGAACAGTGTATTACCACGATGTCACCGAGTGCATTAAGTACAACTAGACCAAGTCAGTAAGGCTGGACCGAGGAGAAGCTGAAGCATCTGTCATGGTGAGGAACTCAACCCAGTTCTGATAGAAGCCACGAGAATACTCTCCTGTGTCAACAACGAGTCCCCACAGGCGGCTCTGGCCCGTTTTGTTCCTCAGAGCCAGCTGAGCCTCTCGCTCTGTCACGTTAAAGCTGATATTGAGAACTTGTGCCACCAAGAGGTAAAGCAGTCCACCTGCGACAATGCTGCTGTACCACGCACAGGTAAAGCAAAGTGCTGTGCTGTAAAAGTAAAGAGAACAAATCATTACTGCAACATAACCCACCTTTTCTTCTCATACTGGCAGGACAAATTCAAGAAAAACACACCAAAAACAGTAATTAAAATTGTCATTGATGAATTGAAATAATTATTTAATGATTAAAGTGATTCAATTTCAAGGCTGCAGCAGAAAAAAAAACATATAGAGTGCTGTACCTAGACTGAGTGTAGACGCCTGGGCAGTAGAAGAGCGCTGTCATTAGATACTGATGAGGACAGAGGCTGCAAAGCACCAAACTGATCCCGTACAGAGAGGTCAACACAAACACAGAGAGGGTCAGCAGGAAACTGCGATGGTTTGCCTGTCCTACACAGCTGTTTATCCTACAACATCTCAACAGGGACACACAACACCAGAGAGACCAGGTTACATGTGTATCTCACTATCATGCTGTATATAAAATGACAGAACTGCTACATTTACAGATTTTATTTAGTTTAGAAGTGTCATGGTTCTCAAGATCTGCAGAGGTCGTGGTGTGTGTGTTTTTTGTCTTCGCCTCTCCCACCAGGGCGGAACTGGACCTTGATTCCCCGCCTCTGAACCCGCCCTGACACACCTGTGGCTCATTCACACTGATCCTGGCAGACTACTTAAGATGGCAAGAGAGGCTGCTTCCTCGCTGGATCGTCACATTACTAGCGTCAGTGTAGCCTAGCCTTTGAAAGTATTCCTTGTGATCACCTAGAGTTTCCTCCTAACGTTATTTTTCTCTGTGTACAGGCCTTCTAGATTCCCTGCCGGTCTTCCCTGCCGTCTGGATTTCTGTAAATGTGTGTGTGAGCGTGAGCATTTTGGAGTGCCCATTCGTTTTTCCTCTTGCAGAGCACTCTGCAAGAGGACTTTCAGTGTGGCAGAAAAAAAATCTAATTTGTAGATGTCCCAAAATAATAATATTAATAGGAAAATCTAAATCCATCTGCATGAGTTTTGGAGTACGTTTATCAAAATCTGTCAAAAGGAACTGATTATGGAAAACTTGATGACATGTGATGTGTTTATGGCCTGGTGAGGCCCATCATGTGCTTACTAAATTATGATCTAACAGTAAAATTAAACTATTTTTTTCTAGTGTGGGGAAATGTAAAAGAGAGTTCAGTTCTCATCTGCTGATCAGCTGTGAATGTGACGTCCCCCTGGTCCAAGCTTCTGCTCAGGTTTGTTCCCCTAATCTAATTACAACACAAGAGGTGTGGACCCACAAATTCAACAGCTCATTTTAATTTCGTTGTTTATTTCAGCAGAATGGCCACCATGACCACCAATTATGCTGCCAGACAGCCTAAAAATGAAACTAATAGTTTAAGACATAAAGACGTGGATGTCCTGTAATTTTCTAAAACTAAATTCAGATAAAACTGAGGTTATGCACTCGGCCCTAATAAATCTTAGAAACATGATGTTAACCAGACACTTACTCTGGATGGCATTATCAGGGCCTTCAGCAACACTATGAGAAGCCTGGAAGTTGTTTTTGACCAGGATGTGTCCTTCAATGCGCATATGAAACAAATGTATAGTAACACTTTTTTTCATGTGCACATTAATATATACAATTAGAACCATACAGTCTCAGAATGATGCCACAAAACTAGTTCATACATTCATTACTTCTTGGCTGGGCTATTGTAATTAATTATTATCATGTTATTCTATAAATTCCTTACCTGCCTCCATTATTCCAAAAAACAGTGCAGTGACAGTACCGACAGGGATGAAAAAGTCATTTTTGCTTTATCTTTCCCTTAGTCTGTGGCTTTTCCGGGCTCCATGTACCCTCTTTTTTCCCTTTTCTCTTGTTTTCCAATACCCCACAGCCAGTCATGACAGATGTCTGTGCCCCGGGCCCGATTTGCCAGGGGTTTCCTTCTCTTAGATGGGAGTTTTTCTTTCCCACCATTGCATAGTGCTTACTCAGCAGGGACCATTTGATTATGAGGGTTTTTCGAGAGAATCTCTACCTTACAGTATAAAACACCTTGAGGCAACTGAATAAACCCAAACTGAACTGAATATTAAACACACAATGCTTTGCTTACAAAGGAAATATATAAACATGACGTGAAGTCAGACCCACCAGATACAATGGTGGTCCAAACGCTGGACACATGAGCCACAGGTTCGACAATGACCAGCCCGCGGTGGTCGCATTATTTTGCACAAAGGACACCTGCTCCACTTTGCTCCGAGGCCCTCCTTTGGGGTTTGCAGCTCTGCTGGTGTCCCTGAGGGAGAGGCTGCTGATTGGAGAGATCCATTATTTACTTGTGTGGACTCCTTTTTATCCTCCTGACTGTGAGAGTTGTGAAGGGCAGCAGTCACAAATCCTGGGCCTTTCTTGGTGTGAATAAGAGAGACTATAGTGAAGATCATCCCAGAGGTCACGGTGCACATCTGCAGCTGGCTGACGTCCCCACGCGGTAAAATCTCTGTGATGAAGAGGTAATACATGTAGGCCAGAGAGTACAATGCGAGGGTGAGGAAGAAGAGGGTGCGTCTCTTCTTTCGGTGCGTTGCATAGTAGTACCACAGCAGGCCAGGCAGAGCTGTCAGGACGGTTATACCCAGCAGGTAGTGCAACGCTGCAACCTTCAGCAGGAGAGGCAGCATCAGCAGGGCTGGGATCAGGGAAATTTCCAGATTTTCAGCCATGGCCACCAAATACAGGAGACTGAAATGTACTTTTAGATGGTACTTTCAGCCACCTACAGAGAACAGTGGTCATAGAGTTATAATTAGACAAATGTTTATTCATGTGTCTAATCATTTCCCTTTTCACTGATGGAATTTATTTTCAAGTTCTTGAGCTGCATGCAAGGTAAAATGATTTCATAGTTGGCTTTTTCAGGTTTGAGACATACACGATAGTTTGCTTTGACTCTAGAATAATAGGAAAGATAAGATATGACTTTTGCATTCTCAGGTAATCTCAGAGAAAACTTTTAGAGCCGCTCTAACCGATAAGAGGGGCCTGCCAAATAAAAAAGGAATAAAAAAAGAAAGAAAGAATTATATGTGCCCTCCTTTTCTCTCTCATTGTGAATTTTGGCACATTTTAGGAAGCAAAGTTAATTGTTTGTGGCAAATTATTAAGAATTTACATAATTCAAAAATCTAAATAAAAAAATAACAGCATCCTGCTACAAGACTTAATATGATAATATAATAATTCAGGTATCACAATAAATATATGGTAAATTTGCATCTTTGGTTTTCTCTTTGAAAGTTTGATTCATTTTATTAGAAGTCAGTAGACTCCCTACCAACACAGCTAAGGCTCATCTCGATCTTATTTATCTGTGCAAAACAAAGAAGAAGAAAAAGAAAGAAAGAAACTTCATCTGTTTCTCGGCCGCGAGACATTGCCAGTAAACCAGTGTGGGTGCGTGGACTATTTCCAGTCTTAAAGCTAAGCTTGTTATCCAGCTGTTGGCATTCGTTTCATGTTTCACTGACAGACATGAGAATGGTATCACCTCCTCTCGCTTTCTTTAGAAAGCCAATAAACTAATAGCATAAAATCTCACACTATTTTCTGATTCCTTTGTATCTGGTTTGTGTCCAACCTTTCTTAGTGCCCACAAACAACGGACTTGTGTAGCTTTCTAACAACAGTACATACAGCACACACTCCTTGATTATTAGTTTATTCACCCATTTCTTCACACCTTCATACCTGTTAAAGGCTTCATCCAGATCCTCGCAGTCACAGCAACATCCGTACTGGTAGAGATCGCATTCACAGCAACAAATAGGATCATCTGGCTCCGGTGGCTTTAACTTCTGCCATTGCATAATGGCCTGCTAAAGATGGAGATTTAACAAAAAAAGGTCATTGCATACAGATGTCACAGTTACAGCGTGCTGCGTTTGCATGATACATGACTTAAAAAACACAAGCAAGTAATCGTGTCATGATCAATAAAAACTATCCAAACAAAGACCCTTTATTGATTCCTTTTTCCTTACGTGGCCTTGAAAGACCTCACAATTAACTTGCAGTGCACAGAGAAAAGCAAACATGCTCACACACACACAGCTCTCACCCCAGCTTACTGGGCTCTAAGTAGGTTGCTTTTGAGAATTAGCAACAGTGCTGACAAATCTAGGATCCGTTTTCAAGATTATATTTTTAATACAAGAATTACAAAAAGTTTTAAACGCCTATTACAAAAAATATGCATAAACAAGTGCAAAAGATAAGTAAAAACAAAAAATATAATCAGAATCAGCTTTATTGACCAAGTACTCTGGCTATTTCTTTACTCTCAAATACATACCAGAAAAGACACCTGGCAATGTAGAACAGCACGTAGAGCATATTTGTGTTCATACTTGTTGATGCTATTAATACTGTAACAGCACATTTATATTTAGATTATATATTAGAGTAACAAATACAGTATTAAACGGATTATAGCAATGCGTACATGACCTGTACTTGTAACTCTAAAAGATCCCTGTTTAAAAAAATATATAATTTTCATAATCAGAGTATTCTCAGTCTTATTATGTCCCCAAGAGCTTCTAATGTAATTTGTTGAAACAAGGCCACGGTGTCCGCAGGGACAAACTATCTGGGCCAGCAAACCGAAGACTTAAACTCTCTGAGATGTCTTTGAGTTATTGTCTGTGTGAGTTATTACATTAGTCTGATTTGTATCTGTGGTTATAACCTTATTATGTGGCATCTGACACATAGCTATACAGGGATTTCCAGAAAAATAATTTTAAAGACAAAATAGTTATTGCAATCTGAGTTTGTCTGCTAAAGATCATTATTATTCAGAAATTACTTAATTAGCACTATCTAACACTTCTAGGTGTTAACTGTTAATAAGGGACACTCACAAAGAAAAGATTTATTGTGTTGACTTACCTTTTGTCTCCAATGCAAAAACAAAAAACAGCAAGCTACGTTGGCTCAAAAAAAATTCACAGTTTCTACACGAGAGCTACGCCATCCTCAGCAAACAATGAGGAGAGAAATGCTTAAGAAGATGA